ATGTGTACTGTTTGAAAATGAACCGCAACAAGACGATGCTTCAACATCATTTAAAGGTAAACCAGTGGCAACAACATTTCAAATGACAAAAATAGCAATGTTTTTTTTTATTTCATGATAGTAAATGAGGAAATAGATTATAATTAGGTTGTAAAATTCATGATAGTGAAATTAATAATTATATAAACAAACGTATGATGGTTAATAGCTAAAACTAATAAAAACACTTATATTGTATATCTACTCTTTATTCCGAAATACATTTTTTTTCAATAAATAATCATTGCTTAATTCTACAATTTGCAGCTTTAACTATGGCAATGCAAGCAAAAAAAGACATGACCAAACCTAAACGATGTTTCAAGTTAGATTTCATGGCCAAACCAACAACACAATGTGTTTTTTCATTTTCTTTCTTCCTGTCGTATGACGATCAAAAATGCCCCTTTGCATACTGTCAGATGGTATTTCATCAAAGGGTTGGGAAAATAGTAGAATACTTTCCAACAAAAAATAGCAGAAAGGTAGCATATCCAAAAAAGAAAACATAGCTTCCTCGGTCATTAATTGCATATTATATGTAAGGTGTTGTATAACAGCATCTTTTATAAAAGCAAGTGATATTAACAAAGATAGAAAACATCGCTTCTGTATTCCATAAAATGCATCATATATATTAGATGTAACATCATCATTACGGTCCTTATTCACCGATTTTTTCTTTGCTGATCAAAAGCTACCTCAAATATGTCAAAACACAACAGGACAAATATGAATTTCCATCAATATTTTTCTCCAATGTTCATAGTTAAATATGATAAAACAATCCTCCGTGGATATAGTCCTCGATTCATGTTATGCTAAATGGAACGTCGTTCAATATTTTTGCCGCACTTTCTAATCCTAAGGGTTAGTTGAATCCAACCCACACAGTTATGAAAAAAAAAATTTGCTAGATGATAGTTGATACAAAAGAAAAAGAAAGATGTTGTAAAATTGTCTTTAAATGAACTATTTCACATGCATACATTTGATAAATGCTTTGTATTCCTTTTCATTCTATAATAATTGCAATTCAACGACCCATGGTATTCAGTGAGGAGTAAACATTTTAAATCTTGAAGTTTTTAGGTGTCCCGTTTTGCCATCGCAAAACAGACATATCTCGAAACAACGAAAACACGAAATTACGATGGTGAAAAGTCTCGACGGTGAAATGTCAAATGAACGATTTTGAAAAGTCGAAAGTACAATGGAGAAGTCAAATCTTTATGTTTTTTAATGTCAAAAAGTATGAATATGGGGGAAAATGATGTATTGTTTTAATTTTCCTAAATGTTGAAGAAAATTTGCAGTCAGAAGCATTTAGAGTATGGAAGTTTCTTTGCAATGTAACTAAACTAGTTTATCCTCTAAAATAATCAAATCAACGGAAAAGAAAATAGAACAAATAATTTTCTTTGCATCTATGTAATGTCTGTTCTTCGTTGTGCCTGTTTTCTATTTAAGAGTTGCTTTTAAAGACACATTATGCCTCAGAAACGAATACATTTCAACTACGTTAGTAAAGTCAAACACAACTTTTATAACGTTACTATAATGGTTTTAGAGAATATAACAATATATGTAGATGCCATAAATGTGATATTATTTGTCATAAAAGTTTAGCGCATGTACGAAATCATTACTGAATGAATAAAAATCTACTTAAAATAGCAGGGTAATATTTTGTTCCGGAACATTTTATTCTGTTTACTTACAATATTCATGTGTGTTGAATAACAGAGATATTCTATGTTACATCTCTTTCTAAAAAAACGAGTTAAAGATTGAAGAACAATATACTAAAATATATATCGTAGATTTATAGTATATAAAATATACCATAGATACAGCTTTATATCCTTTAAACTATAAATTATAAGAACTGATTCTGTCTAGTTTTACGGTTCTGTATAATTTTACCGACAAAGAAACCTCATTTTCATAAAATGATTGCTTTTGATACTCATAACAGAGACTTTGCAGGACATTTGATTCATTTTTAGCTGTAACGTACTGGTATATTAGCTAAACATTAATTTGAATATTTGTGTATGCAGAAGTTCAGTTCATGTGCTTTCAAATGTTTTAAAGTGAGGACAGCAGAATGTTACTCCATTATGATGCGCTCCTTTATGACGTATACTTTCATCTTTTACTAGTTTTATAATTAATTGTTTTCGTCTTTTTCACTTTCTCAAAATATAGATAGATAAATACAGAATCCCTAAAGAAAGCCCAACACGGCAAAATTTAAAATGTTGCAGGCTCGGTTTGATTGAGTTTGTTCATGGACGGTACTGGAAAGTGCAAGTTACTGTCCACGCCCCCTAGCACCGGCTTAAGCGGAATTCAACATTTAAACACTAATCTATCTACAGCTTAACTGCTTCAAAATTGGCCAACCTTTGGTTATCAACAGAATCAATGTTTCTCAAATTAAGTTATAAAACTGAATTGAACTTTTCTAGAGAAACACTTTTCGGAAATAACCAAAATTTTTGCCACGGAAGGAGTGTTGCTTTGCAGAGATTATACTGTATTTTGTTTGACAACAAAACAATGTTTTCAAAATTAGATTCTGTTAAGACAGTCGTACATTTTAATACAGTTATCAATAAAAATTTAGAATAGTGAAATACTGAATCCCTAAGAAAGCCCAACACGACAAAATTGAAATGTTGCAGGCTTGGTTTGATTGAGCCTGTTCATGGACGGTACTGGAAAGTGCAAGTTACTGTCCACGCCCCCTAGCACCGGCTTATGCGGAATTCAACATTTAAACACAAAAATGGTGAAATCTTTAGAAATATCCGCAGATGTGTTCATACGGCGGTTATCATGGAACCTTTAATGTGACACAGTAGTGCCATTCCATGAAAAACGGCGTATGGTCCCCAAGTAAAAGAAGAAGATTTATACATAAATGAAGGAGACATTTTTGTCAGTATGGATTTTCTATTTTTTAAAAGAAGCAAAGGATGAAATTGGATATGAAATCTTAAATATTATCTCATTTAATTCCGGATCGGTTTTAACATTACTTTGATGTGATTTAAAACTGCATTTAGTGACTACCTATTCAGTTTTCAGATTTGGTTCAAAGAAAATTTATCACGTGACTTCAACGTGCTTGTTTGTGTTGATACTTTTAGTCATTTTATCTTCCTTCACGTCAGCCGCCCGGTTAGCTCAATAGGTAAAGCGTTGTACATTGGACCGGTTCGATTGATCATGAAATCCTTTATACGGTCATTCGCACTGTACTTCTGCTCTGGCATGTACAAAGGTTCCCAGTTCATTGCGAAAGTGAAGGCAACTAGTACTAGTAAACTGCTTGACAGCCTGCCCAGGAACGATGCGGTGACTGAATTGTGCTCTGGTAAATTCAATGTGGCTCCCTGGCGTGATCCGGATGGTATACTACCAAGACCACCATCACGACAGTATATTTTACAGTTGTAAAACTGTTTTACAGTAAATGTCAATGTGACAGAAGAGTAGTTTAAGCTTTTATACATGTATTGTGCTACAATAGCAAACACACTTTGTTTTGAGGTCCTTGTTTAATTCTACGATAAGTGTAATGACATAATAATAGTGATATATGACTTTATTTATTACCAATGTAATTATAATGTCTGTAAACAATATATTTTTTTAAACCAATTACAAGCGCATTTTTACATCATCATCTATTTCATCTGTGCAATTCCTATTTTAGTGTCTAACCATTCTTGTCAATTCATCAAGGAAAACCACTAGAGAAAATATTATTGTTTCTGCCGTGTTGGGCTTTCATTATTTTCTCTATTTTCTGGTATATTCACATTTTGCCTTGCTGATTGTTGTTTTGGCTTATACTTTAACGTGTTCTGAGATCACAATTTACCTTGAGAAAAGAGTGACATTTTTCAAACAATGACATAAAATAATGCTTATATGGTAGGTGAATAGATATATTTATATTATTTATTATCCTAGTGTCAATAAGACAAGGGTTAATGACGTACTCAAAAATTCACTTCTTTATAACGATACATGATGAATCACTAATTTGTCATACAAAATCAGATGTGATTTTGATCTAAAATAGATAAATACAGAATCCCTAAAGAAAGCCCAACACGGCAAAATTGAAAATGTTGCAGGCTCATTAAACAAATACTATTAAACCAGTATACAGTTTTCAGTCTGTTGTTTGCCTTTGTAACTGAAGCATAATCAGTTAAACTTTGATTTGTAATATTTTCTCAAGATGAAAAAGGTTATCAATGCGGTACGTTAAACGAATAAACACTTTTGATAAATAATTACGTTATTTATCAAAAGAATAACTATCTTAACTACTTTATCCTTTAACCATGGCTAGAATACCTTTCCGGTCTTACCTTTTTGGCATGTTTATAATGCCTGAACTATTTTACTTTCCTTTCACCTTTTACTATAAATCCAACGTGCACTCATTTTCTGCCTTTAACACTCGCGAGAGGGGTTCGCAGGATTCGGAAATAGGAAGATAGATACGAAAGCCCATCTATTCAATGCGCTTTTACATTACAGGAAAATATAAAGAATAACGTTATGTCTACGAACTCAACAGTGAGTGACATGTCAGATATAACTTACTTTCATTTTCATATGTTGCCGTGTTAATTCCTTTATAAGATGATCTATCGTTTGATATCATTTGATATTTATCGTTTGATATTATTTGATATCTTTCATTTGATAGCATGTACAGGTAAATGCAAACTTTGTATCTGATCTGCCCTATTTGAAACTATAAAAATTCGACCAGCAAAATGATAAAGTGGAAGACGCGGGTAAAGCGCCATACGATAAAACATAGATATTTGGGCGAATTAAATAAATCTTTAATACTTTCCGGTAATTACTATTAATGCATGAAGTTGAGGCTTTAAAATACGGGAACATTTTTTGGACAATAAGTATGTAAGATATATATTCGACTTATTTCCGCCGCATTTTAAAGATTAAATCGGAAAATGTTGGTTGAATGGAATTTATTTCAGCCATGACTTGCAATACATCTACACGAATATCGTCAGTTATCTACGAAAAAAAAGATTCGACCTAATCGTCAGATATCTTGAAACCTGAAAATGTTGACCATCCGTTGCCGTAGACTTTTGTCCCGACAGTACTCGTGTGACGGACCCAAACTTCGTCTCCAATGTTGAGTTGAAGGACAACACTATTAGAGCCTTGTTCGTGAGCGTTGTCATGAGAATACATCAAGACTTCTCTCACGCCATTTTTAACTATTTCTGTCTCGAGCACCTCATTGTAGTGGCTCATGATACTAGCGGAAAAGTAGTACGTGGCATTAATTGGTGCAGTGAATACGCCTGTATTAGGAGAGTAATGATGTCCAATGTTTGTCACGATGTAGTCGAAGAGGATTGCTTGGTTATTGCCAAGATTCAGCATATGATTTGACAGTTTAGCAGTGAAGCCAACTTTGAGAGCCCCTTCATACGGGTTTTCGAGTAACACTGAAAAGTTGTAAACACAAATCGATTCTCTATAATTGTTATATATATTTAAATGATTATTTTATTTTGTCTGAAGCAAATCGATTCTCTATCATTGTTGCATTGTTATATAAACTGATTATTAAATTTTGTCTGAATACATACCATCATTAACATTTCACTTCAATGTTAAAATTGATTTAGATTTGAGATTAAAACACCAAAAACATTGGTTTACTTTTTTGTCATTAAATATAGGGGAAATAAATACCAGCGTACATATGCAAGCTGATTCTACAGCTAAGCACTTAATTTTCATACTGTCATAATCTAATCATGAGTATCCTGCTTTTGTAACTTAAATTAGTTATCGTCATGTTTGATTGTCTAAGATGTATTTTGATTAAGTGTAAATAACTAAGCAAAACTCACGCCGTTTGTTGCGAGAACACTCTCGAAGCTGTTCAGAAGTTTCGTCCATTTTTGATTGCAGCTTTCCCTCGAGCTGATGAACCTTTTTTGTCAGCTGCGATATTGCATACTGTTGCGTCTCTAAAGTTTGTAAAATTTTGTGCGTGTCAAGACTTTCAGAACAGCATGACATAGAAATCAAAGCTGAACACACACAAAAGTTTAACGAAATATAAATTATTCCCATTTTTGTGTAAGACTTTATTCTTATATTTTCACTGAAGTCAAAGACTCCAAGTAATCAGGAGCATACAAGATAAGATAAACATGTACTTCAAAAGTGGCCCTATTTCAATGCGAACCTATTTTATTATCTTTTAAGATAAGTTGTTCTAATCCACCAGGGTTCTACCGGGGGTCTGTCGGGGTGTCCTGGCTCTAAAACCCGGAAGACCGGGGCTCTGGTGGGGTTTAACCCGGAAACTTTGCCGGCGTATCTAGGGAAAGATTGGGGGAAACAAAGGTATTTTAAAAAGTAGCTTCACCTTTGGGCTGGGGGACGCATTTCCCGGGGGTTTGTTGGGAATTACCCCTAGTTTCGGCCCGGGCCCCAAAAAAAATAAATTCAACCCCGGGTCGTCCCCGGTCATTCAAATTTAAAGGGCCCCTATTCCATTTGTAGGGGATCCTGACCCCCGTCAGTGATCCCTGTCCCGGGCATGTTTCCCTGGGTTTTATTTTCCCAAAGGGACGTTTTTTTTTTTATATACCTTTAATTTTAAGTATAGCGGAAAAAAAAAGGGGAAAAATTTAAATTTTTTTTTTTTTTTGGACTTTTTTTTTTTTTTTTTTTTTTTTTTTTTTTGATTTTTTTTTTTTTTTTTTTTTTTTTTTTTATTTGAGACTAATAAAAAAACAGTTTTTAAACAAAAGAATTTAGGTAACCCAACATTGAATATTCAGTTAGTTTCAAAAAAACATCTTTAAGGGGTTTTTTTTTTTTTAATCTGTCATTGCTCCTGCTGGTGAGCTCTGTCGGGAGTAATTCAGTGAGACGGCTCATTCCTGACGAAACGTCGCAGCTTTAAAGCGGAACAAATTCTTTTGACAGCGATAAGACAAAATGGCATAGGCGTGGGGTGGTACCTGCGTGCGTATAATTGACCGCACGAAAAAATTTGCGTATAATTGACCGAAAAAATTTGTAAAAAAATGACAGAAGCATAAAAACTGTAAACCTTTATTTAATGACCTTTTCAAAACTAACTCTTTGAAGGATTTTTAAGGCTTTTATTTTACATTATACAGATTAGTATCAAAAGAGACCAAGGCAGACCGAAAGGGACAAAATTGGCGCCAATAAGGGGGCTAAAGTGTAGTGATTTGTAGTGGAAAGGGGGTTTCGAAAAATAAGGAAAAGTGAAAGGGGTGAAAACTCTTAAATGCGGTCAATAGTTTAAATACTACTAGGGACTTTAAAACAGCTTGCACATATATTTATCCGGTGCGGTGCGGCAATACAGTTTAATATTTTGATATTGAAATAGTTAAAAATGGAATTGACTGCTGAGCAAATCGGGCAGATAAATATTATATGATTAACTTAGAAAACTTCCGTGACATAATTCATACGATTGGGATTTGTGAAGAAAACTAGGTGACCTGTTGATGGTTTACATTTGTAATTGACAAATATAAGTAATCCATATATACAAGGGAACGATTTCATCGATAAGTAAGCTTTGTTTTATATTTCCTTCATTCTTCTTAGACGAATTTTCGATGCCATTAATATACTATATACTGAATTCATTACCTCGATGATTTACGCTTAATTAAGATATTTTCACAGAAAAGATTTTTTATAATTTTATCTGGAAATCCTCATAGGTATTGCGCAATTAAATGACCCCATTTCATTACAACCACAAGCATTAATTAATTGACAAATAAGATGATGCAAAATTAATCAAATCATAAAAGACTGAATAGGTAGGATTACAAACACAAATGCATGCTTAAAAATATACATACCCATATAAATCGATGTACAATATGGAAGCATGTATGAATACTAATATAATAACAGCTGAAATATATGATTTTGTTTTTTGCTTAAATAAGTGGGAAAATGATACGGGGTAGGAGGGTAAATAGAGAGATTCAAACCGGTCACTGAAATAAGATTTGTTAAATACAGGTGGTCGCATGAGCAATAATATTGATTGTGTTGAAAAAACAAAATGCCGCATTGCTCTTATCTGAATTAAGAAAAATCATAAAACTGTGTACACACTAAGTATATTTATTCCATGCTTTCCAGTGTTTTATTTAAATATATCAGATGATAATATTCTGATAAACCACTAGTGAAATTAATAAAATATAATTTTTACTGTAGCTGGACTATATCTGAATGCGGATGAAAAGAAAATCATAACTAAATGGAATAAAAGGCAAAAATAAATGCCGTCATATGTACATTTTGCTTCTTTAGGAAAAGAAAGTCGATGTCATCATACATCATGTTAAAATTGTAACAAAATAAGAGAAATTTAACAGAACTTTATTTCTAAATTGATGATGTGACGTCATGATGTGATGACGTCACAAAGGAAAATGCGCGACGTTACGCGGTTAAATCAGTAAAAGATACTTAATTTTTTTTCTTTCTCAAAGTATTTCACGGGTTTTTTTACAAAACATTTGAACCACCTTTTTCCATTTTTCCAATATATCATTTACTCAATTTGCTATTAGATAAACAATCATATAAAAAAGATCAAAATAAAATAATCACATAAGGTTAGGATAAAAATGAATTAGTTCAGCATTCCTGAACTATTATAGTATTACATTAATTATTCATATACTTCACAAATATAATTGAAATTAAAGCTGTGTATAGCCGGACTGGTCATTTCATAGTAACTAGATTGAAAAAAATAGAAAATTGCATAATATATTATTATATGTTAATATAATTGATTTGAGACAATAGTAATATTTATATAAAATCACAGCTTTTGCTTGTATCGGTGGCAAACTATGTTTATCTGAAGACATGTTTTTATCACATTATCAATTTATAAAACTTAATGACAAGGGTTCATTACTGCCGAGCACTTTGTTATTGGAACAACGTTTTCATGTTTCTTCAAAAATTAATATTCAAACAAAATTATCGAGTGTCTGAAATGTTAGTTATGACAGAAACGATTTAATACATTTTCTGTTTCCTTTGGACCAAAATTATATTAAATAGATACTCTTTAGTGACAATTTGCTTCTATTTTAGCGCAAATTTTGCATAGATAACGCGGCAAATGACGAATCTAGTTCGGATGAAAATCAAATTATTATGGAACATGATGTAGTCACGTGACGTAAAATGACGTAATTGTAGCGTAATCCGATAACGACATGTTGGTCCATTTATAAATTCAAATACGAGATAAAGTCGATATTATGTTTTGATGATCTATCTAAAAATATTTAAAATATTTTGAATAAACAAAATTTGTTTCAGTAAGAATAAAACCATGAGCTTTATTTTTAAAGGCAAAATCATAATTATAGTATAGTAAGTTGCAGTTAACATTTTTGAAAAGTTAAACGAGCCTCTAAAATGTAATGCATATGACACCAGCTTTAGTTATTTAAAGAGATAGATGTATGTTTTAATGGCACTTCTAATATTGATCTATAAAAGGAACTCCACTGAGCCCAAAAAGCCCAAATACATAAAATTTGAATTTCGATCATTTTGGATATTTTTAACAGAAATATATGCCAAAGGTTATTGTGAAAAACACTCAGATATGAATTAAAATAGTATTTTATGCTATTCTTACCCCGATTTGAGACTTTTCAATTTTGGGTCATTTTTCACAATTAGAAAAAATAGATTTTGGAACAACAGAGTGAGTGAGTGATTTGTAATTTTACACACAAGTTATTTGTCTAGACCTACATCAAATGTAACATTAATCTTGTAAAATTATTTCCAGTCTGTCACGTCAAAAAGTCAAAATAATTTTTTAAATCGTATTTTTGTGTCATTCTTAACCCGATTTGAGTGAGAAGCGTTGCAACGCTTTTCAATTTTGGGTCATATTTTACAGTTAGAATAATTATTTCCAGTCCCGTCACGTGAAAAAATCCCAGTGGAGTCCCGCTTTTTCTCATAAGTTTGTTAACGAGTCCTATTGGTAAAAGTAATGCAGGGTAATTCTCTCTGAGAATAATAAAACAAATTGTTGTAAGCAATAATAATAAAATATGTTTTCCTTCAGAATGAAATTAATTGAGGACAATTTCCTGACATGATGAATATATACATGGTCAGACACTGTGAATGGTGTAGAAAGCTACATGATTTGTTTACGCCTTGTGCTTGTTACTGACATATTATAAAGTAAGCCATGGTCACGGGAGAACGATAGCATCGGGCAGTAACCCGTGATTTTTAAACTCTTTTATTGTTTAAAGAAGATTTTGACATCTCATTAATACATACTGTTGTCATAAACTACGAGATTTATGCTTGCAAGACATACTTTTGCTTAATAAATTGTTATCATTTCTTTTCCATAATTATTATGTCCCTACTTAAATATCTGGAAAAAATGATCCCTCGGAAGCATTACGATTGACAAGGTACTTTACGGCGAACAATGTGTGAAAACAAGAAACTTAGAGCTTTTGCTATTGTGTGTTCAGTTTGTGCCTGATTCAAATCATTGGATTGATATTACAAAATATAATAAATATCACATCTTATAAAATGTAACCAATGAATTTCCAGCGTTTGTACCATGAGGTCTCCCAAATATAAATCACTTTTAGGTCGAATGTAATCATTTGGACTTGTGTTCATTTTGCAAGTCTAATTATTCCATTTTAAATCAATATTGCACTGCATTAAGCCTCATTTTCAGTTTTGCAAAAGTCCGATATCAAAGCACTATTGTGCTGCTTTATGTCTCATTCTGAGAGTTCACAAAAATTCCAGTAAAATCCTAATTGTATGCAAATTAAACATGTCAACAATTAAAAGTTTCGAAAGTAACAATATTTCGTACAATACTTATTCTATTGGACTCGTACACAGCTGCAAAATGTATATATTACACTCAGCTAGCACGTCGACAAATATAGGTTTGAAAACTGCGGACTTGTCCAAAAGAATTCAATAGGGCCCTCAAAAATGTAAAATAATCTTATATTATGCATTGCCCGGATATGCAAAGGACACATTAAATGACAATCATGCACTTGGTAGAAATTGCGTCATAAAACAAATCATTGAGATAATGACTGTAAGTTGTTATTATGAAAATACTAGAGATGAAAGAAATTGGAATAATTCATGTTTCGTGGCGTCATGAACTGGGCACCCGTTGTCAAATGCTGCCTTAAATATGTCAGTATCAAACATAAGGGACACTTCACCGCGTGTAATGATGCATTTTCATTTTCACGATATTGTTCCAATCTGATATAATTATTCTACGGCCTTCAGAATGCTGATGTTGTCGTGATTTCTTTATTCCTTTGGGATAACTAATTCTAACCAACAAAAGTTGTTTAAATTGTAAAATTGTTTATAGCTATAAAGGTAGTGATACACGATACATATTAAAAAAGCAAGATGTTAATCTGGCTTTATATATTCCAAATTTATTTGAGCTGATTTAATTCATCCTACAAAGCCCCCTTTCCGTTTATAGTTTGCAAATGCAAGTGAAATGTCCGATTTCTTTGCCTAAAAATAAAAAAGTCAGTTATCTTTGAAAAGTCGTTATTAGTAGCATTTCATCTGTTATTGGACTTTGAGTAAACACAATCAAATACAATATATCAGCAAGACATTCATACAGCGTGGTATGAACAGTTATGATTTTTAGAAACAGTTTCGAAATTTTAACCTGATTTTTTCACGTTAACAATTAACGTTCGAAACTGGCAATTCTCATTTCTGTACATAGGTTTTGATTACGTTACAGAAAAAGATATCTTTAAATGTTTCATTGAGATAACGGTAATCTTATTATTAAAAAAAACAACAGATCAAGGATCAAGTAAGAAATATTTAAATGACATCATTTCAGTTTTATATGATAACACCGTATTCCTTCTGTGACATATTGTGAGATAATCGAATAAACAGGGAAGATGAAACTGTATAACGCTGGCTAAATTTGCATAACCTTTCTGCTTTCTCTCACGTTCTTCCCCTGTTTTTTAATTCCGACAGATCCTGTTTTTGTAAAGAAGCATTCTACAGTGTAAAGTTTTATCAGATTAAATCGTAGCCATGTGAAATATTCAACGTTACAATATTATAACAAATGTTACTATTTCCAAGTCATCTAAATTTCTGAGAAAGATTTTCACGTTTAAATCTTCAACAATTTTTGTGAAGATCTTTTAAAACTTTGAAATCTGATTGGGCTAGGTAACAAAGCATGTTTACATTCGACTTGTATAACAATGGTATTAGAATAAAATGACATACGGACTTGTTTTTAGACTAGCACATTTAGTACTTTGTCATGGCAACAACTATTAAAGATATATACAGATAAAAACCCAGAATAAAGTTAAGTGCTATTTTAAATAACTTTTGTTCAAATATTTTTCTCGGTTCATTCTTCAATGAGTTCTGTCATCACCAATCAAACAGGCAATATATATTTTGAAACTTCGCTCATGTTGATAGACGACTATTTTAAGCTAATCTTATTTGTTACTATATCTACAAAATAATTTATATAGACAAAGTCCCAGGTGACTGTCAGAACATATTGTTATTTGACTTTTATGACATTATAGTGATTTATGATATAATATGATCCTTTATTTCATAGGGGTTGTCAACTAAAGACCTACACATTATTTATACTTACCAACTTTTCCCCCTGTGCAATTCTTACATCTTACATACGTTGTTGATTTATATGTTTATCATAGAACTCGCAATGGGGACATAAATTTTCATTGGTGTCTATATTTAGCTGCATATCCTTTTAAACAACGATTATTTTGTCTGATGAGACCAGTCATGGAACAACTCAACTCTGTTACAAACTGTCATGTTAATGGCAAGGCAGATGTATTGAGGGAGTGTATGTTTTACTAGTCTATTAAGTAGAATCTGATTATTTAGCAACGAAGAGCTATATGAAAAAAAAGAAATAAAGAGAAATTTAATTTGCAAAAGGATGGTCTCACATGTGGCAGTTAATATTTAAACAATGAATTACAGTTGTTGTTCTGAAACTACATGCATTGTCATTTCTTCTGTTGCTAAAACTTGCAAATGAACGAATCTAAGACTTGCAACATATAACTAATTATTTTTAGTATAAAGTTAAAACATTATTGATATATTATATTCTCTAATAAGAAAAAGGCCTCTGAATGGACGGTATTTCTTTATAGCTCGCATCTGTTAAAGGTTTGGTGAAACAACCGGTTACAGCTTTTTTTGTAAATACCCTATTTGAAAATAGCCAAGGAGGTTGAAGGGATTAAAATATGATAAACAAGATCAACAAGGAAAGGCGGCGTTCAATGAACTTAACACCCACACGAACCAGCAACAAGAAGAAGGACCCAAACAAAAACAAGGCAGGACGCAAGGCAGAGCACGGGCAGGCTAATCATTTAAAGGACACTTAAAAAGAAATAATAGAACCGACAAGGAATTTAAAGAAAACAAATAGTTGATTGATCAATAGGCATATAAAGAAAAGGGCACAGGGGAAGGGCATACGAAATTCGGGGAAGGGAGGGCACAGTTAAAATAATAAAACTAGGGGCAAAAGAGAAGATACCTACCGTAGACGATAAAACAAGGGATAAAAACAAAAGTGTCACTAAAACAGTATGAAACAACAAAGAGATACATCTTAGATGACAATACAGATGAGGGCATAGAACATTATCCTTGATTAATCACCTGATTCAAGCCTAATTATCTGTGTCAGTACTATATTTATTATTCCCCCGTCCTTGATTTATTATTTGTTCAGTCTTTTATTTATATTCTCCTCTGTCCTTGATTTATTATCTCCACCGTCTTTGATTTATCATTCCCTCCGTACTTGTTTATTTCCTCCATCAAGGACCTGATATCAAAAATAATTTTCAGGCAAGTGTTATCGGGCAGTTACCATAGCAGTTGCATGATAAAAAGCAGTGGTGAACTTTTCTTTATTTGGTTTGTACTGATTAGCATTTGAAGGATCTCTGAGATTGTTCTTACTTATTAGATAACATTGGCCATATGTTAATGTATGATTACAAATGATAAGAAAATATTGTGCAGTTTGTATAGTATTCTTCCGTACTTTGTGCCAGTTAAGAATTTGGGATTTTTTAACAGAGAGATAAAGTATAACTGGAACTATGCGAGTAAACTTAAAAAGGTGTGTAATATTAATTCTAGTGATACTTTCTTCAATTTTATGGGTACTTTTTGAAAATGAACCGCAACTAGACGATGATTCAACATCAATTAAAGGTAAACCAGTGGCAAGCACATTTCAAATGACAAATAATAGCAATGTTTTTTATTCATGTTAGTTAATGGGTAAATAAATTTTAACTATCTTGTAAAATTCACGATAGTGGAATTAACATTTTTTATCATATTTGGAGTATTTAAGACTTGAATAACTATAATGTTCCAAGTCAATTTTACTTTATTGTACAGACATGAGAAAAGGTGTTTCAAAATTCATCTTACGGAATAGCGACAAGAATCCTGAAATGTCCCAGGTATATTTTATTACCATTTAAGAACACTGTTAAAATTTTAAAAAAATCTCTAGAAATGACATGCTTTATAAACTTTAAATGAGTTTAGAAAAGTTGACAATAAGTCATTAAAAAGCCACAGTTTTCAACAATTGTTAAATGTATAGACAAAACATGCATGCCACACTGTCTTGGGACGCTATGTCGCTTTAAAGACAGATGGTAATGCTTCAGAAAAGCCACGCTGATTGTCGTGATTTGTATATTGACAACTGTTTTGTGATATAAATCTTTTCGATTTTTTCAACACTCTTTAAGTAAACTTGTTTGTTTTTGTTTGGTTGTTTAGGTTTTTCCTCTATTTCAGGTAAAAATTCCAATAGAAAAGTCACCGCCAGTGCTTCTGGCTGGAAGGATGAGTGTTAAATGCCAAGATTACCTGCCAACTTTACGAAAGAGGACTCAGAACATTCCAATAACAACAAACGCCCACTACAATCTTTTCTACTGTCCTATGTGTAAACTAGCATCCACATATTGGACCAGGTTTTTTAAGATGTTAGACATGTATAATGATACGAGTATTCTCTCACCGTACGATATCCCTATAAGTATTGCTAAACCAACTGGAGAAAGATTACAAATTACTGTAGGTACGTCAGGGACGCCATATGACAATTACTTTAAATTCATGTTTGTACGCGATCCATATGCAAGAATTTTGTCAGCTTACGTCGATAAAATATTTGCTCCAAATCCAATATATTGGGAAATTTGGAGTAAACTTCTTCGTAAGCTAAAAATAGATTCAAGACATACAAAGACAAAATGCAGGTCCCATTTTACATTCGACGAATATATTCAGTCTATCATTTTTAATAATAAATTGCATGCAAACTTTGGAACTACCGACTGTCATGAAGCTAGTTACGTGAAAACTTGCCATCCATGTGAACTTAAGATGAACTTTGTTGGTAAATTGGAGCAGTTTGCCACTGATTCGTATTTCTTATACGAAAAACTAAACTTAAGTAGAGCAATAGAAACAATTACCAAGCAAGGGAAACAGTTAGCTGATGAAGATGCACTACAAGACACAGTTACTTCCCCTTTTGAATGGAAAGATACAATTAAGAGTTGTATACCTTGGCTTGAAGCTCTCAAAAGAATATGGAGAAAATTACAAGTTCGAGGCGTTATAGGAAAGGAAGAGTTACCTTTAACAGCAGAACTAGCTGAAAATATAAGTGTACAAGAGTTCATTAACCTTGTACTGACAACGAAAGAGAAAACGCCATATAGTGAGAGAAAGAAACAGAGGACCGAGGCTCTAATTGAAATATATAGTAGTGTTAAACCGGAGTTATTAGAACAACTTAAACATATCTATAAACATGATTTTGATTTCTTTGAGTATGATAATAATCCAAGCACTATTTTTAATGTTAGTATAAAAGATATTCAGTATTACGGGTATCTAGATACATAAAAGTAAATAAAAGCAGAAATTGTTTCTAATTATTTATTCTTAGGTAGTGTTTTGCCTGCCCGTACTCTGACTTATGCCCTTCCCTGTTTTTGTTTGGGGTCCTCCTGGGCTCCTTGCCTCTGGCTCTTGTTACTGGGTCGGGCGGGGGCTGCCTTCATTGAACCCCGCCTTTCCTTGATGATCTTGTTTATCATATATTATATTCTATATCTAAACAAAACTGCATATAGTTAACATTGTTTGACAATGTTCACAGCTCAAGACAAAAATATACAATGTAATTTATTTGTCAACGCTTCGAATAAAAGACTTACTGCAATTCAGACTTGGAAGTTGTCTTTTAATTAGAAATGCACCGACTTAATTTTAAATTTCCTTAAAGAATAGAAGTGTCATGTTAAATACACGCTTTCTTTATCATAAATCATGGCTATAACTTAGATTCCATGGCCAAACCAGAAACACAATATGTGTTTTATTCTTTTATTCTTCCTTGCTGTCTGATGACGATCTAAAATGCCCCGTTCTTGCTGTTAGATGGTCTCAAATCAAAAGGTTGGGGGAAAAGAAGGAATTCTTGCCAACAAATATTATAGCATATAGGTAGGAAAAGTTATTCAAAAAGAAAACAATAGCTTACTTGTGTCATTTATTGCATATTATATGTAAAGTGTTGTATGTACATGATATAACAGCATCATTTATAAAAGCGAGTGATATTAACATAGTTAGAAAACATAGCTTCGGTATTCCATTAAATGTAACATATCTATTAGGTGTTACAGCATCATTTGACAGTATCATTAATAATCTGGTGGCATTAACAAGGATCACTGTCCTCATTCACATATTTTTGATGATCAAAAGCTACCTCAAATATGTCAAAATACAACACGGCAAGTATGAATTACCATCAATATTTTTCTCTAATATTCACCGTTGAAGGTGATAAAACAATCCTCCGTGGATATTGTCCCTACTTCATTTTATGCTAAATAGACACGTCGTTCAATGTTTTTGCCGCATCTTCTAATCCTAAGGGAATCCAACCCAAACTATCATTGATAAATTACAATGTTTGCTTGATAACAGTTGATACAAAGAAAGATGTTTCCGTGCCTGTTTTCTATCTAAGACTTGCTCTAAGAGTTGCTTTTAAAGACGCATTATGCTTCAGAAACGAATAAAATTCTACTTCTTTAGTAAAGGCAAACATGAGTTTTTATAACATTATTATAATGGTTTTTGAGCATATCATATTACAATATATATAGATGCATGTAACCTGAAAAAGTAGCCATAAATTTGAAATTAGTTTAGTATAGCGCATGTAGGAAATCATTAGTCTGAACGAATAAAAAAACCTACTTAAAATAGCAGGATAATATTTTGTTACGGAACATTTTATTCTGTTTACGCACAACATTCATGTGTGTTGAATAACAGAGATATTCTATGTTACATCTCTTTCTAGAAACGAGTTAAAGATTGTAGAACAATATATTAAAATATATATCGTAGATTAAAAGTATATAAAATGTATCATAAGATACAGCTTTATACCCTTTAAACTATAAATTATAAGAATTGATTCTGTCTAGTTTTACGGTTGTGTATAATTTTACCGACAAAGAAACCTCATTTTCATAAAATGATTGCCTTTGATACTCATAACGGGGATTTTGCAGGACATTTAATTCATTTTAAACTGTAACGTACTGGTATATTAACGGAAAATTAATTTGAATATGTGTAATCAGAAGTTCAGTTCATTTGCTTTCAAATGTTTAAAGAGAGGACAGCAGAATTTTGCTCCATTATAATGCGCTCCTTTATGATGTATACATTCATCTTTTACTAGTTTTTTAAATTATTGATTTCGTTTTCGTCTTTTTCACTTTCTCAAATCTATCTACAGCTTAACCTCTACAAAATGGTCAACCTTTGGTTATTAACAGAATCAAAGTTTCTCAAAGTAGGGTATAATACTGAATTGAACCTTTCTAGAGAAACACCTTTCGGAAATAACCAAAATTTTCGCCACGGAAGAGATTATACTGTATTTTGTTTGAAAACATAACAATGTCTTTAAAATTAGAATCTGTTAAGACAGTCATACATTTTAATACAGATATCAATAACAATTTAGAAGATTTGAACATGAATGCTGGAGACAGTTTTGTCAGTATGCATTTTCCATCTTTAAGTGAAGCAAAGGATGAAATTGGGTATGAAATATACAATATTATCTCATTTAATTCCGGATCGGTTATAACATTATTGTGATGTGATGTGAAACGACCCATTCAGTTTCCATATTTAGCCAAAGGAAAATTAATTACGCTTACCCAGGAACGACGCGATGGCTGAACTGTGCTCTGGTGTATTCAATGTGGTCCCCTGTCGTCATTCGGATGGTAAACTACCAACTACGTCAGTTGTACAGTTGTTAAATTGTTTTACAGTAAATGTCAATGTGACAGAAAAGTAACTTAACCTCATATATATATTTTGCTACAATAGCAAAAACACTTTGTTTTGAGGTCCCTGATGAATTATACGATAAGAGTAATGACATAATAATCGTGATATATGACTTTATTTATTAGCCATGTAATTATGTCTGTAAACAATATACTTTTTAAACCATTTACAAGCGTGATTTTCTACATCATCATCTATTTCATCTTTGCAATTCCTACTTTAGTGTCTAAGCATTCTTGTCAATACATCAAGGAAAACCACAAGAGGAAACATAATTGTTTCTGGTATATTCACGTTATGCTCGCTGGCTATTAATTTAACGTGCTCTGGGACCAAACTTCACTTTAAACACATATTTTTTATCATTTTACCTTGAACTTTTCACCATCGTATTTTCGTTTTTTCGCTGTTTCGAGTGATGTATGTATCACGATGGCCCTAACTGGATGTCGTACTTATGACATTTTCGAACAAATATGTGAATCATATAATATGTGCATTGATATATTTATAATATTTATTATCCTGGTGTCAATAAGACAAGAGTTAATGACGTACTTAAGAATTAACTTTTTATAACGGTGTATGATGAATCATTACTTTTGTCATACAAAATGTGATGAGATATTTAACCTCAGAACAAAGTACAAAGGAATGGATGTCAGGTCAACTTGTTCCGATGTCAACTCGTTACCAGTTTGGTCAACTTGTCCCTTTTTTATTTTTGTCTTTGTACGCATGTATCATATGTTATATATTGTCATATAGTATTTAAAGTTGTAATCATTGGCCTTCGGGATCATTGATTCCAACACATTTTAGTGTTTAAAATTGAGTACCGTTCAGGCCGGTGCTAGGGACTTTTTCATTTTCCCTCATGTACAGACTCAATCAAAGCGAGTCTGCAATTTTCATGTAATTTTGTTGTGATTAATTCTTCACAGGGATCACACTTTTTCCAGATTTTTTGACGTAATAGTATGAGTATTATAATATGATAGATATTATAAACGGGTATCATCTTAACGACATCATTGAAATAGGAAATAGTCTGGTTATTGTTAACAAGAGATTAGGTACCCGGCAAAATAAGAGGTTTCTAAACATTCTGTAATGGTACAAAATTATTATCGGCAAATTAAAATGGATAAAATAACAACACATATTATCATTTCAGTTTTAATAACACATTGTTTGGTACTTTTAACAATAACAACATCATTTTATTTACACGTAAATTATGCATACCAGTCGAAATCAGCATTTTAACAACAACTCGCATCAAATTTCTTCCATACATATGTTTTATTTACGCATTGCATAAACCAGGCATGTCTGAATGAATTGTGGTAAAATATTTGCATACCAAGAATGAGATATTGTTATTCCGTATGCAATATTTATCCTTGAATGTTTTACTTATCATATGTCAGAATAAATGTTCAATATCAGACTATTGCTTTTAGTACAAAGGAAATGAAAGGACATTCATTTCTTCTTTGCAATGTACGACGTCAATATCTAGCTTGGAATATGAATTAGGAAAGGCATATACAGTTTATCTTAAAATATTCCTTTGTAAAATTGAAGATTTTACAAAATGGCAATCTCTCTTTCATTATTTTCTACTTTAAAATGGTGATGCGTCTTTAAACAAGAGCAGGGTAGCACTTAGATTTTGTTAAGACGAAAGAAAACAAATAATAAACGTTTTGACATATGTAACTATATGCAATATGTTAGTTTATACCGAATTTATTTTAATTTCATTGCGTAGGGGACTATAAGCTTTAAGACACTCTTTCGGATCCTTTATTGGAACCAACTAGTACTACACAATGACTCTCAAGGAAACAATGGCTTGTCCTTTACAGGGTTTGGGGCAAGCCGTTGCTTCCGATCAAGCAGGTGTTGTTTCCTATTGGTACATTGTTACAATAATATCCCAAAATGTTCGGAAATAATTCATATTACTTTCTCTATGCATAGTTTGTACGAATATACAGACAAAATCTTTTTATAGTAATTCTAGTGTTATAATGTATGTAACATAAAAAATACTGATCTTTGTGCTATAGATAAGTAAGATTCTATGTTAAAGTGACATTATACTCATTTGTTATTATTGTCCTATTGAGCTGAATGCTCTATATTTGCTATATGTTTCAATAGATTGGTAGTAAAAATATTGATTGACAAACAGTAGATGTTATAAAAGATATATTTGCCTAAAATATATAAAAAGACTGCCACACTCTTTTCTTAAATTGAACGTAACAGATAAATTCGGATTGATATTTACAGAAATGTCCTTGGATCACGCTAGTTATATATCAATGTTGAAAAGTAAATTATAAAATTGAAATGAATTACGGCAAAATGTAAACCTATTTTGACTTTCACTTTTTCGCTTACTATACCTGGATGGGAATAATATCACTATGTAAATCATAATCTTCATCACAATCTATGTCAAACATCATCATTAAAGAATGCGCGAATAAACCTTATCAATGACACATTAACTCGTGCAATAAATACTATACATATATAAAACTTTCATCTGTACATAACAAGATATAAACTAACAAATATAAATACTTTGATATCTTATTTTTCACGTGCTTTAGCGTCACGAACACGTGCAGTCTTTTTGTATAAATCTATATACTGTACATATAACTTTGAAGAATCAGAAACGAGAATGCATTTCTTGCAAGTTCAGTATGCAACCTATGGCACCAGAAAACCAGGTGATATTAGGTCATTCTTTGCAGCCATCATCACTCGGATCTTGGGCAGGTTGGGTCAACAAAGTCTCCAAAAACATTCAGTTCAAATAGACAGGATAATGCTATGACGATAACGTATGCAAACATGCATAGACAACCAAAGGGTTTGTTCAATTTCCATTTAGCCAAGTTGATAGCTACGAGCATAAACACAACTGTTGATAAAAGAATAAGTGCTGAATAGGCAATGCCTCCACTGCTTATTTTCAGAGGAGCGCCATTTTCCACGATAGCCGTGTTTAATAGCCATGGTAACCCGAGACAAATTAATATGTCGAAAACATTGCTTCCTATTGAATTCGAAACTGCCATATCCCCATAACCTATAACAAAAATGATATTCATCTTTATAAACAAATATATCTTATTTTTAAGCAGTAAGTTATTTTCATATGCTCTGCGAAAAGGAAATGTAATTTGCTTGCGGTTTTCTTTCTTTGGAAGACTTAGTAAATCGTTAAAGTTAATTGGTGTACAATGGGCATTTTTTCCATAAGTATTTCAAATATTGATAAATAGAAATGTATTTTTTGATAGTCTTATATAATATTCCTTGAAATAAGATATTGATAAATTCTAACTGATTCAGTATGAACATTTACATGGTAAAAATATTTTGTTCTAGATTACTGTATTATCTGCTATATAAATATATGTATTATACGTGTATATGTATTTGTCATCGGATTATGTATCTCTCACTTGCCAACAACATCAATGATATATATTACAATTCTTTCATGGTCCGTTGTTTTGTCTGATACTACGTACTATCAAGGTAATTATATTTTGTATTACAGACCTTCCAAATAGCCCAATTCATTTTAACCATCTTAAAGAAGACGAACCGTAATAAGATTTGTTAACTAAGTGACATGGGCATTGCAACACAAATAGTAAATGAGTATGAAACTATATAATCTTTGAATTTAGAAATGTAAATGAAGTCGCCAGTGTAAAATATGTTATTAAAAGTCTTTGATCACAAAAAAATAATTATTCGGAACATGGCTATGACTTTCTAAATACTGTTCCGGAGCTCAACTGACTACGCTGCTGGTCGCCAACACATTTCCTTTCATATCACCTATCAGCTTTCTATCTTTTCATATACACAGATAAACCACAGAATTGACTTTACATTGATAAAATAGAGAAAATAAGAATCCCTAGAGAAAGTACAAAACTGCAAGATTGAAAATGTTGCAGGCTCGGTTTGATTGAGCTTGTTCATTTATGGTACTGTTTGGCTTAACATTGGCATCTTAGAACATAAAAATATACTGCTGTCAATTTATATTAAAGGGTACTCAGTAGACTTTTTTTAAATACAAATCAGCGTAAAATAGTTTTGTGTGGATACAGTATCTATTACGCCAATTTTGGACCTACCATCTCTCGCTACAAAGACGCTACTAAGGCAGTCTGGTACCGATGTTCCTGCCGCTAGAATAGTCAGTCCCATTACGGTATCTGGTATTTCAAGAACATCTCCTGCAATGTCAACAAGTTCAATGAATTTTGCAAATTAGTTTAAAAAACACTTTAAAGTTAAGAAAAATTAAAATCCAATTACGAACGTTGCTATACCAATTCATCTAGGAAAGCCCATGTCTAATAATCTAAATGACTGTTTAGAAAACCATTTCGTAAGAAATTAACTTCTAAACGCGAAACTACACACATGATGGTAGTGACTTTAAAATTAAAGTCTTGCCTAATATGCGGTTTTAAACTAATAAGTCTTAAGAAAATGTGTAAGATGGTGTAAAGACGTTCTACAGTTTTAAAATTAAATTAGGGGAGAAGAACTGTTCTCTGTCTTAATAACAAGCGTTACTGTTATGTCTCAGTACCAATTGGGTTAATGAGATTGTTCGCCTGACCCTTTACGTGCTGAATTTAGAATTGTTTAATGAATGTGTTCAATTTAAAATTGGAATAGATCATTCAAGGTTTAAGTAATAAATGACCTTGCAACAGTAAAGAGCCTGGTCAGACTGCATCGATGTGCCAGGAGATCTGGCTTCACACTGGTAGCAACGGTTAAAGGTCGATTGTGGCCAAGAAATGCTTTTATTTTCATTCTCAAATTGAAGCTTTCTTTGGTGTCTTGTTAAAATTTCAAAAAAGATACTATTTTTTTTGCTATTAGTACAATTCTAGTGATATACATTTGTAGTATTTTGTATGGAAGTCAAAATACTACTTTGATTACATTTTGTTACCTTTATGACAAAGGTAGTCTTACTGTAATGCTTTCCCGCCAATATAATTGTAAGATCGTCCAATATCGTGAAAAATCGGTTATTTCCGGAATGTTGTTTTTAACAATGTTCGGTTTTCAATAAATTTAACCTGTTATAACCGGATTTTATTTCATATCAATAAATGGTGAGTGAAAGCATATAATCTAATACCTAATGTTTTGAAAAAATACGTTCCGGAAATAACAGATTTGTTACGATATTGGCCGATGTAATACTTTTTTGGCGGAAAGCATTACAGTAAGACTACCTAAAATACCCGCCTTACCTATGATTGTCACCATCCATACCATTAAGTAGGAGCATGCCGCTATCCAGGCAATGGAAAGGGCAAATGTCAGCATGTACAACCGACGCCAAATGCCGTGGCGCCGGCAGTCGGGAATAGTTACAAACATGAGACATTTCATTGGTAACATTACTGCCCAATATATTTTACCGACCGGGTGATCTGGAATATCCCACGGAGAGTCAATGGTTTTATCTGTAAATAAGAAAAGAAAAACAAAGGATAACAAAACAACAACAACAACAACAACAACAAAAAGCTTAAAAAGCTCCCAGACTTTTGTGTAAAAACGTTAGTGTTATCATATAAAACTTGCTATATTTTTATAATAAAACTTTGTTTTAAGTCTTTATACTTCAGTTTAATTATTCTTTTTTATTGCGATTTAAATAATAATTCAATATAACTAACTGCCGTGATCCGGAGTGAAAACTTCCAACATTACCACATTTTTAATAATAGCTAAATGTGTATGCATATATAAAACGACTGGAATATTGTGTGTATTTATTTTGATAATTTTTGACACATCGCCTACCATCAACATGTACATGCGGATTGCCCTCGGACTCCTCCGTCGTGAAGGTTGTTTCTTTGTCATCTGATACCGTATCAGCAGCAATGTTCGTTTTCTCTTCTGTGTAATTTCCACTTTGAGAATTTTCTTTCATTGGAATAAAAACATATACATAGCTCAAATCATAATTTGAAAAATAATAAATGACAATGTACATGTTGCCTTTTTTAAATATTAAAATGTCTACCAGAATGTTCAATTATACTCTTGATATATTACAGTATTTGTAATTGTTTCATGAACTTGCTAAAAATTAAATTTTACTGAATAATACCAAAACAGCTACACTAGAGCTGTTCATATCGGGCTATATAATGATGTTGATGATGATGATGATGATGTTGATGATGATGATAATGATGATGATGACGATGACGACGGCGACGATGATGTTAATGATGAGAAAGTTCATGTTGCTGATCATTCTTTTGATGGCAAGACAAATCACGCCTTACAATAGTACAGTATTTTGTGTTAGATATGGTAACAAAATAAAATAAAATTTCATTTGAAACTTTTATACTGAACACAAAATTTGTGTAAAATAGTGAAGTTCGAGATATTCGTACAAAATCCCTAAAGTAACGTCCAAAACGGCTAAATTGAAAATGTGTCATGCTCGGTTTGATTCAGCCTGTTCAAAGAAGAAACTGGAAAGTGCAAGCTACCGTCCATGCCACAATCTTTATATTTTTTGTATAAGTGTGGTAATTCAAAATATATTTACATGAAATATATGCAGTTACAAAGGAAAAAAATACTTGAAACTTTTTTATTGAAAAAAAATCTGTGCCAAGGAAATAGCAAAAATCAAAATCCCTCAAAACGGCAACACCTAATGTGTTTAAGCCGGTACATGAACATAACTGGAAAATGCAAGCTACCGTCTATGCCCCCTAGCACCGGCTTAAGCAAAGATTTTCATTTAAACATGATAAAGTGAAATTTTGTATTTGAAACATCCGCAGATGTCAACTTAAGCACATAACTTTAATATTAATATTAATATGGAACTTTACATATTTAAAAAATATGAAAAAAGTTAACGATTTTAAGGTAACTTATTATTACGTATTGTACTGATAAAATAGATAATAAGATTTAATTTAACTCAGAGTACATACATGTACTTGGTAGAGAAATTTAGTTAAAAAAACACTCACTTATCAAGATAACAATAGTATACATATCAACAATATAGATACATGATATATTATATCAATAATAAAATCTTAAAATAGAAAAAGATAGTTTTAAAGGTGACATTCCAAAAAGATAATTCAATTATCATTATCAATGACGTCAAAGCATTGTTTATCACACCGCCTATTTACTGACTGATATACATATTACTTTCGAAACCTTACACAAAGCAATTTTCAGAATTACATTTCATTTAATTAAGATCAAACTATTGGTAGAAAATACATGTATTACACTGTGCATATATCCCGGACCTGCCTTATTCTAATTATCAGATAGGTGGATACAAGAAGAATTGCACCTAAATATATTTGTAAACAAAAGAGCACATGTCAATGTTGGTGGTAAATCTATAGTTATTCAAATTAAAAGTCAGAGTAGGGATAATGCAAATATGCTGTTATTATGTCATCATGGGCTTATAAGTAAGTCTCATTTGATTGAAATAAATTGTCTTGTATTGTCTATCAATTGTAACTGAATATGAAAATTGCGGAAAATGAAAATCTCTGAATAGCAATAAAGATGAATCGGTCTGACTGCATCTGTTCATAAGAGATATTGTAAGATGCAACCATCCCCATCCCCTAGCACCGTCTCGGCGGTATTGAACCTTTACATTTAATGTATTGGAATCAATAGTCATGGAGGACTAGAAATATTTTACAACACTGATATGACAAACAAGACAGCTGCATTTATTTATTAAACGCCTGCTGTTGTAATAAAAGAAAGATCGCTTAAGAGAGCAAGCAGTTTCGATGAAAATTGTCATAAAGAATTAAACAGGAAGTGGGAATTCAACACATTTTACACACAGTTTACATTGACAACAATGTTGCTACATAACCATTCAAAGTAATGCCAGAATGAATAATGCGTGCATTAGCTTTTTTTATTGCAATAGATTGCTGCAAAGTGATGTGACCAGAGTGTACAGACATATATTTGCGTTGAAAGTTTAATTAGAATGTTCCTGTTCATATTTACTGGTTCATTAATTCAATTTCACAATTTTTATGTAGTTTAATTTGTTTAAAACACGTGCTTAGAAACACGTGCTTTTTTAAATGATGCTGTACGTTTGTAACATGATTTTCATCGGATTATCTTGACGTTAACATATTTTAATGCATAGCTGGTGCAAGAAAAATTGAATTTTTTTTATTTTAATCACAGAAAAGTTTTGTAAAGTATTATACAATTTGGTAAAAAATACTTTTGGCAGGTTATTTTACCATTGTGTGCTTTGTAACAACCCTCGTCTGGCGACCTGGGTAAGCTAAAAGCCTTTGATACTAGGACATATACCCTGGCAATATTCTTTATAACTAAATATATACTAGTATGCAAGGAGCCATGATTGTTTATTTGCAGGAAAGAAAAGTGTCATATATCATGTATATTTGCAGGCAGGAAAGTGACTTATGTAAATATTGATTCAAAGTACAATTGTAGACATTTGTTTGGCAGAAATGTTTATTATAATATTTTTGGATAACTTATATTTAAAGAGTTGGAATTATAACATTTTGTCATTAGAAAAGTCAAAATACAAACCTAAAGGTTGCCCAACAAGACAAAATTTAAATAATTCAAAGTTAATTGTTTTTGTCTATAAATGGAAAGCGGTGACAATGTCAAACTACCACGCACGCCCCCTAGCACCGACTTCAGTAAAATTCAATATTCCGTTATGGAACGGCATTAATTTTAATATTGAAAATGTTCGCAGAATGTTCAATTTGAATATGTCAAAGTAACGTTTTCAAGCATTATTTTGTCAAACTAAATATTTCTATGAATGAAATTTTCACAATCAATTTCATATTTGGTATAATTTAAACAGGAGTTAGAAGTAAGTTATTTGTACAAAAGAACGTACTGTTTCAAGAAGAAGAGCTGTAAACTTCAAGCAATTCAAACAAAACATTGATGTGGCAATTTGTGCAGTGATACTTTACAGCAATTTGTCTTCTTGACAATCGATAGAAACCTTTCTTACGACAAAAAATTAACTTATTTGTAATACAATGTGGATTATTTTAATGAAATTGAGTATATTTTACACAAGAAATGATAAAAACTTACAAATATCATTGAAAATGTCATCAAAAACACTTAGTACACAGCAGTACAATCAATAAATTTTATATGACATAAACATTCAAAGAATTTTGAATAGACAATAATATGTGAAATGTATTGAGATTAAAATAAGAGAATAAAAAGACACTTTGTTGCAAGCAACCGTTGAGTACAGTGGTATGCCGACTAGGGTGGTGCATACTTACCACCAGGGTTGATTCTGATGGAAGTTTGTACTTCGGGTACATTTCCTTCTGGCATTACATTAGAAAGAACATAATTGCTATATATCGTTTATAATTCTAGCAGTTTTGTATAAACATTTACAATTAGCAAGCAACTTATAGTTCTATTCAAATTTCTTGACGCAAATATAACACTAAGCGATAAACTATTTTTATGGCAATTATGATATAAGTTTCAGTTTTATAAACTAAATCTTTATAAAAAAAAATATGTCTGCGCAAATGATGAACAGTAAGCAATTTATGTTATATTTTATACGTATTAATGAATGAAAGTGTTCTAATGGTTTTAAAACTTAACCATGCAAATCTTCATGCAAATATAAACATTCGCCTTTCTAACAGATACATAGTTTATGCCGTGCCATATATGCGCAAAAGTTATGGCTTATTTGAAAGCAGGATATCAGCATGTTTTTTTGTCTGTCTATATACAACTTTCACATGACATGTAAATACATGGTTGGGATGTACACACTAGTTGCAGGCCTTCTAACAATTTAGCAAAGCGTTTTTCTATTAGAGCAATGCCATAAAAATCCATTTACTTGTGTAGTCATTATGTGTGTGAAAATGGTACGATATCAGTTATTTTATTGTCAATTAAATGATGCCTACATGCACTTAATTGTCAACATGATATATTTCAATTATCTTGAGAGACAAAGCTTATGTCAAGACAAATATTAACGTTATGCGACTAACAAAAACACAAATACAAATATAAAAGGTCTATTACTTAATTACTGCGCATGCGCGGTAACGCATTTATAATATCTGGTAATACACATTTTTTTAAGCTGTATAGATATGCAATAGAGGAATTTTTATATGATAAGATCAAATAAGCACTATCTAAAAAAAGATTTTGGTTTTCTTTGGTACGAAGATACATGTTAAGTATTACCGGATAAAGGCTGCTTTTCATCTGACTCCACTTCCGGATGGCGAGACATGGCATCGCCGCCTCGAAATTTATGAAGTATTCTTTTCATACATCCTATGCTTTTTTCTTCAAGGATACGGTTAAAGTACATGATGGTAATGTATATAATGTACAAGACTAGAAATATTGTCGCTTCATACCTGGAAAAAATATATTCTTGAAGTTATATTATATTATAATTATAAGTTGTTGGCGCAAAGGAAACACTTTTTTCAGGAAAAAAGAAACTAAGTCTATTTTAAACACATAATCTACAGCAAGTATATATAATTACTATCATTTTTATTATTTTTACCCCAATACTATTATTATTATTATTATCACATTTATTATTAATATTATTATTATTATTATTATTATTATTATTATCAATTATTATTATTATTATGTTATTATTATATTTATGTCCGGTTTTTTGGGGGTACGGGGAGGAGTCAATTGCTGTTGTTGTTGTTGTTGTTGTAATAGTTAGTTCTTATTATCATTGTTGTTGTTGTTGTTGTTACAGTGAAATTTTAGCACTTACCAATAAACTTTCTCATCGTCAATAACTATAACTAGAGCAGCTATAGAAAGAAGGTAGAATAAACAGTCTCTCGTCATTGGATACCACGTCAGCTTGACTACCTGAAACAACAGAAACATTCATGTCAACATATTGTGTTAACATTCTAGTGGATTGGCCAACAATAGTGGCATTGTTCATAAGTATTTCAAATATTGATAAAAATAATAGAAATTTAATTAGAAATTAATTCTTATAAAATAGTTTTTAAGAAAATGGTGTTATAATTTTACATAACGCAGTAACAACAACAACAACAACAACAAGATTTATTTTTGTTTACTGATGATAATGATATAGATGATGTTGAAGATTTTATACAATACCATTATATCAGCCAAGTTATCATTGAAATTAAAATTAATAAATAAATAGTATAAAACAACAAAAACAAATGCATTCGTATGAACAAAAACATTAGTTTCAACAATGATTTTAACGATACGCATAACTTTGATGGCTTTGAATCAGCATATAAAACAAACATAGGTATTCAAAATGATGCAATATTTGAATTGGTAACTACACAATTTAAAAATTATGTTAACAAGAATGAGTTAATTTCCTAAAAGTGTTTCCACTTTTCTCACAATTTTTCAGCGGCAAATTATTCATTTTTAAAATATAAACATGTCAGTGTCAATTTGTTTCTATCAATAAATATTTTTACAGTCAAATTCAATTCATATAGAGGCAAGAATGCGTGTCAGTCATTTAGATAACCTGCACTTTTCGATGTTTTGCTTGAATAAACTTGCGATTTTTCCAGTTGCACAAAATACGCATGCCTTTGGTACATTAAGTAGTTCACATCATTAAAAGTTTAAGAGAAATAATAGTTGGAAAATCAATAAAATAAACTACAACTATTCAAATTAACGCGATATTCCTACAAAGAAAATGACAAAATAATGCACAGCATAAACATAAAAAGCCGCCGGCATGAACAGTAAAATTACGCACCATTCCGGCAAAAATGGAACAGGTTCCAATTATGAAGAGAATGTTGAAAACTGCAGACCCGACAATGGTGCCAACGCCTACATCATTTTTGGCAATAAATACACCTACAAACACAGAATAAAACATACTTCAAATCTCAATGAAAATATGAGCATGTACAACTTTCTAACTACTCAATTTGTATTACTTCCATTTCAAATGTTTGCAAATATGACCAGTTTATAACGTTCGTGTATTTCACATAATATTACACACTTAAAAAATTACAGGTGCAATAGTGTTTTGCAAGATTATTTATAAACAACACATATTTACACTTAAAGAATCACATAGTGAATAATAATGAAAACAAAAGGTGGTTATCCAGTCTTCCAAAATTTCAGTGATGATTGTGGAAGCAATTTATCAACAATTTGATAAACTATGTGAACTGTGTGATAAGCTAACAATTGAAGATGAATTTCATTTTATGATTTTCAATGATCTAAGTATAAAATATATTCCTGGAAGAGACCTAGTATGGTGAAGTTTGCTGAACTTATGAAAACAGAGAAGAAACGTTTACTTTATAATACCGCATTACATTTGTTAAAGTCAACAAAAACCAAGAGTTATTAAAACCATGAATAAAAAATACAACATTCTCGAAAACATTATAACATGTATATTTCGTATAAGGTTACTGTTGCCATGAATTGGTTGTATATTTTGTTTGTATATGTCTATATTTTGTACTATGCATTCGACTAAATAAACCTTTTTTCTGTTTTGCTAAAATTTACGTTCTTATTTGGGAAACTTAAGTATGATTGTTTACCTTTAACAGAAAAAGGGGAGAAAAGCACCAGAGCATTAATTACGTACCTATCACAGAAGTAAAGAACTCCGGTGCAGAACTCCCAGCTGCCATAAACGTGGCCCCAGCAACATCTTCTTGCAGCTGTAACCCTGATGAAAAAACACATATAATATTGATATATTTATCATATATATGAAATTCAGGGTTGACATAGTGAATACATAAGGCCGAACATACACATCATCTGTAGCATTTTATTAGTAACCTTCCTAATGAAAGAATCTGTATTTGCTTTCTTTGGAAATAGGAAAATCCAGGAACAGCTCAAAATGGTGCAAAAAGAAGATACCATCTGAAGAAACTTATCACATGGAGGAAACATTCAATTTAAAGCAAGCAGTCGTAACTCAAACCCAATTCGTAATAGGTATCACTATCTATTTGATGTGAATTTTATAAAAGAAAAAAATGTACTTTATCATTTCAAAGATGGGAAACACGACAAAAATTTAATGTAAAGCGTTTGTACAATATTTCTTTGTGTATTGCAAATCTAGTCTAGATTATGAATATCATACGTTTAATGCTTTGAAAATGATGTAATTGTCCATCAAATGTATATTTATTTCTCTCAATTATAAAATAATTAATTATCGCAATTTATCATTGATCAGTTTTGCCTACATACGTACGTTCGCAGATGACTTCAAGAGACGATACAAAATAATCATCACAAACGATGGCCAGAGCTCCAAACATGTACAACGAAATTGCTATATGAGCTGCAATCCCGCCATCCTTTGTTTGCTTTAATGTGAAGAAATTATCCGGAAACTCTTCAATAGCACGTTTCGTACAATTAGGTTCATCCTCTTCCGCATCATTATCTATAAATAGATTCAAATTTGTTTGTTTATTGACAAGGAAACTCAATATTTAATCTGATCAAACTAAAACGTGATGATGACATTATTAATTGCAATCATGAAACATGCTCGTGTTGTTCATTTCGTTTTAGCATGTTATACCGTAAGGTTGCTGGAGTTCGTTTTGTTTATACAAATTTATTTTAGTTAGACTGTGTTGGAAGCTTTAAGCTTATTGAAATACTATTGAATCCGTTTCTGGAACCCACCAGTATTAAGCAATTAATGAATGTAAAATTTCTGGGTCAAGGAAACAACGGCTTGCCACTGACAGGGTTTGAACCCGTTAACTACTCGGCAACGCCGTCACTATTGACCTGTAACAAGTAAGTATAATTTCTGATTAAAAATAAAGTTAATTGAGCCTTCGATAATGCTTTCCAATGGTCGTTTATCCATATTCCTTACAAAAAGCTTCTGTATCATCGAACAGTCAGGTTTAAAAGCTTTATAATGAACGACTCCCATGAGTCTAATTATTTAACAAAACTGCAATAAAACAAACATTAATGCCCGTAATATCATATCCATTGTCTTCATTTACATTAAGAACATTTTACAAATTAAATCCAAGCTACGTTATATTGATTGACTCTGTTTCCATGTCACTTTTTAAGACCTTGTACATATCATCTATTTAAAAAAAAGCACTCTGATAACCCTATTGAACTATCTTTGAGGAAGCACTGTCAACATTCTTTTTTTATTCTGAGAATAACGGATTTACTTTCAACATAAAAAACCTATTTTGTCATTCATTAGTAAGCTTAAATACGGATCTGCTTTTTTTTCTTAGCTCACAGTCATTCCTAAAATATAAGTTGACGTCAATTTTATATCAAGTTTCATCCTTACAGACTTAATTGTGGTCGCCTGAAAGGTTGATAAAACCTACTCAACTACTGAAAGACTTAAAACGACAAGAAGAGATGTAACAAGGGTGATTATCCATGTGGTCACTTTAGGTAAACAAAATCTCAATACAAACCGAATAGTCATACTAAATTCATACTTATTTTTTCCATCATGAATAGTCATACCATATTTATCATTTTTACATTTAACATCATAAAACAGCCCAAATGATTGTTGCCAGTTTCCTTTTTAAATTTTTTAATTATCTCTTGTTATGAATTATTGTGAACGTATGTAATATTGAATGAAAAGATTGCATTAATATTTAAATTTTATTATGTGATATTTATATACTAGTCATTTGTTTATTAATTAGTATTGCATTAGTTTTTATATTTCATAATTCAAGAACTCGTTTCACAGATGGTTGTGATTGTTAAAACAATATAAACGGAAGTCCAGCATGAAACCCAGAAGAAGAAAAAAATCGGTATACTAGTAAATGTCTCTAAAACACAAAAATTGTTTTCATTTTATGACACTACTTCATCAGATACGTTCTCAATGACGAAATATTCATAACATTTATAAAAAAAATTGAGTATTATGCAATTATCAGGACTAAAAGCATTATTGTCAACAGCCCGCAACGGTCAAATAATTGTAACAGAAACCGCAAAGGTATACTAGATGAGTAAATGGCGGAGAATAGTAACAGTAAGATTTTCTTTGTTTTCATCAGCACCATATGCATTAAAAGCAAAAAAGAAAACAATAAAAGCACCACATTTAAAAAAACAAAAAAGTAAATAAATGAAGATCAATAGAAAAAAATATATCCCCCGAAAAAAAAAACAATAAAAACACACACAAAAAAAAACAACAAAAAAAGACAAACAAAAACATTTTTATTTTTATGTTTACGACAAAGACTATTAGCATCTTCAGATCATAGTTCATTAGCTATTTTAACATTGAAAACACTGTTCAGTAGGTATCAACGATCTATATTTAACCACAGAGTGTCGGAAATATCCGTCTTAATACAAATTGTTTTAGGCACTCGTTAGGTAGTCTTAATACAGATATTTTTCTGTATTTGTTCGCAACCACTCTAAAAGGTGACAATGACGTCAATGAAATATCAAGTTACAGTAAGCTTAATCAGGATAGTAAGAGACTAAAAGTTGGAGGATAAACACATTTAAAGATACTTTAAAAAACGAGAGAGCATCGTTTCTGCATTATCAAGCTATGTCAACAAGTACTTTACACGCGGCAAAGAAGAAACAAATGTATAAAGAGAAAGCTCACTTTTACAAGCTAACTTTATCCGCTGTCTCGTTTCTAGAACATTTAAAACGCTCAAGTTGTTTAACAAGAAGTTTCAGTTTAACAAGCAAACTTTATCCGCTGTCTCATTTCTAGAACATTCTAAACGCTTTAAAAAGTTTAAATGAATTAAAAAGAAATCTGCTTTGTTTAATTCAATATTAATTTATAAATGTCATCTTTTAATGAATGAATATGGAATTTGAAAAATAGTTTATAATCAAAATCCATTTATCAGAAAATAACATTGTAAAATCATACAGATCATTTTCAGATGATGTAAAGGTAAAATTTGGGAAAATATACGAAGTCGATTGTATTTAAATGTTTATAACCAATTCATGCTGTTTTACATCTCAAGGGATACATTATTTTACAATGCATCTCTGTAATTAAGCACAACTGGATATTGAAAAATAAAATCTTAACAATCTTTACAAAATATAACATTCAATTTGCAATAATACGAAAGGTTAAAGCCACGGTTCCGCACATTTGACACTCAATTTCATTAGAATTGATAAACCTCATTCATTCATTTTAAGTATTTTGGTATGATTCTTTTTCAGATACAAAAAAAATATTCTGTCAATTGCAGACAGTCCAATATAGTTTTATATCCCTTAATACACAAATGTAGGCATTTTATTAGACAAGAACATATCCATGCAGAGAAATACAGACAGTCATGCATGATTGCTGACAGACAAATATAGTTCCGGTAAAGCGTCTCAAAGGTTACACACATATGCAGTTTACATTATAGTATTATCATATTAACCTTCATACTTGAAAAAATACGAAGGTTATGAAATCACCTTTATGAACTCACTGGCATTTCATACGATATATACATTATAATAACGCTTGAAAAAACAACAAACAAACAAAAAACCAAACAAAAACAAACAAAAAATTAAAAAAATAACAAAATACACTTGTAACGAGAAAAATGATAGTGATGAACATATTTTTATAATGTTAGATTCGATTTATTGTAGAATTCTCCTATACATTAAAAAATGTGAGTTATTGAGCGTACTTTCAAATCTAACACTTAGGTTTTCTCAAATAAAACATAACATTTGACATATATTTTTATTCTTATTTATTGGTATCGTAAATATAACACTTAAATATCTAGTTATGTAAATGTAAATGATAAGTATACATGTATTAAATGCAAAAGCTTAGGTTTTATTTGAAAAATGTTTTTGTAATTAAATCGCTTTATCAGTCTTTTCTGAAGTATATTTTAAAAGGACAAGTCAATTAATGCCACCACTATCTCATTATCAATGTTACCATTATCCAATACAACCAGACATTTCAATCAATTTTAATAGTTTGTCAACATATTGAATGAGCATGTCATCTTGAAACAAATCATTTATTAAGTTTTAAACATAAAACATTTTCATGATCCAAGAGACGATTATAAATTTAAAACTTGAATCCCATTACTCCTCTTCTAAAGATGTAAGTGTTATTCTTGCATATAATAATACTTTCTATGTAATGAATGTGAATATCAAGCGCTTTCGGCTCCTATTACTTTATATAAGAACATTTCCTAAAGTTTCATACAAATTAAAACGCGCTTCAATTAGAGCTGCTCTATCCAATTTAATGTTTTAACACATTTTTATGCCCCCGCCATATAATGGCTGGGGCATGTAGTGTTACCCTGTTCCGTCATTCTCTCATTTCGTCATCATGAGTTTCAGTTCATTATTTCAGTAACGGTTGCACACATTCAACTCAAATTTGACATATGGATATGTAATAAGAAAACACAGGTCAAGTTCGAATTTGGTCATGGTTCGATGATATTTTGCAGAGTTATGCCCCTTTCACTTTGAAAATAATATGAAATTTTCAGTTTCCGTTCATAATCTCCTCTAGGTTTTACACATTCAACTCAAATTTGACATATGAATACGTCAAAGAAATTTTCAGTTTCAGCACTCATACTTTTGTGGAAATGTATGTAGCCATTATTTTGGCTACAAATGTGCAATAGGCAATTTACAAAAGGTTAACACTGATTAGTTTCAATGGCTTGAACTTTGTATAAAAATGGTTTGAGTAAACATTGAATAGTTTTAAGGACATTGAACTTAAAATGAAAAAAAAATTGTGCAAACAAATTTGGAACTAAATATTATAACATCTGAAATTTTGGCTGCATGCGGGGGCATCCGTGGCGTGACGACACATTTCTAGTTTAAGCTTTGAATTGCGAAGTAATAAATCTAATAAGACACAGTTTTGTATTGACAATATTGTCGATATTTCCTGCAACAATAAAAATATACCCTGATGATTCCTTTATTAATTGCAATCATGAAACATGCCTTTCTTTTTCACTTCGTTATAGCATGTTTGTTATACGGTAAGGTTTGTGCTGCTGTTCTTGGTACATTCACCTGTAACAGGTAAGTATAATTTCTGATAAAAAATAACAATTCATTGAGTCTTTGGTAATGTTTTCCAATGGTCGTTCATCCATATTATTTACAAAAAGCTTCTGCATCATCTCACAGTCAGGTTTAAAAGCTTTATAATGAACGACTCCCATGAGTCTAATTATTTAACAAAACTGCAATAAAAACCAACTTATTCTGATATTAATGCCCGTAATATCTTATCCATTGTCTTCATTTACATTTAGAGCATTTTACAAATTAAATCCAAGCAACGTTATATTGATTGACTCAGATTCCATGTCATTTTTACGACCACTGATAAGCACATTGAACTATCTTTGATGA